GCTTGAGAAACATGCCAGGCATGTGCGCATGTGTGCTCAAAATCCCGAAAAGAGGGAGATGGAGGAGAAACTGGTAAGACCGTGCCTCAGTGGGGAAGGGGTGCTTCCCCCGCCCTCCTGTCTCTCTGGCAAGCACACATACCATTTAGCAAGAAACACCCCAAATACTCCGAAGCCTATATACATCTAAAATTGAACAGGCTGGATGGAAAGCGAAGGCGATAGGGCCAGCGGTGACATGTGGTAAACATGCTGGGTCCCACGTTCCTACCGTGTGGTTCACATCTCGGACCTGCCGGCTTGGAAACGCACCAGGAGTGTGTGTGCGCCCCAAGTCCAACAGAACTGAGAAGGGGTTCCCCCTGGGGGTGATTTCTCACTTCCCCTCTCTCTGTCTCTCCAGCAAGCACATGTGGCCTATGGCAAAAATCTATAAAAACAAACCTCCCCAAATCCAAAGATAACCAATACCCCAAACTGAGAGGTTCCTGATTTTATTATACCACTGCATGTTACTATCACTCTGCCCTTGTGGTGGTTTACCTCTGTGTGAGCGGGGTGGGGGTGGGGGGCTCCAAGGCCGTTTACTGCACAGGCGATGGTGCTACTGTGCCTGTCCTCGCAGTTCAGTGGCATCGCAGTGGCAGCTTGAAACTGGTCGCGGTGGGGGTGTTCGCAGCACAGTGTCGGCAAACTATCAAGCAGGGCGGGCTCCTCCACCTCACCCCAGACCTGCTGCTAATGTTTACTTACCGTCAGGCCACTGGTCAAGGACAGTCGAGGCTCACAAGATGACACGGGGTCTTGAGAGACCTTTCTGGTTTGCCAACGATCTGGGCTTCCTTCCTGTCACTAGGCCAATTCGCGGGGTGACCTGGAGTGTCTGACTCCGTCCTGGCAGGCGTCTAACCTACTCGTCAGGCACCGATTCTCAGGATAATGAGGAAGACTCAGTCCCTAACTCCAGAGCTAAGGTGGGCGGTGTCTGGGCCACAGCACACCCATTTCGAGCGTGAACGTTCGGATGCATGGAGGGTTCAGTACCAAGGAGCAGAGGGTGAGTGCTAAAGGGGACAATCACTGGGGACTAGTGTCCCGAGTTCAGTCCTGGACCAGGGCATCCCTCTGAACATCAAGGTGGGATTTGTTTTTATTTTTTTATGTATGCATTTATTTATTTAGAGGTTTTTGCCATAGCGTGCATGCACTCTCTGGAGAAAGACAGAAATAGAGGGAAAGTGAGAAATCACTTCCCCAAAAGGGAGGGCCACACCACAATCCCTTCTCCCTTCTGGGATCTTGGGCATGTGTGCACATGTGCCCGGTAGGACTTTCAAGGCACCAAGTCTGAGGTCAGCCGGGTGGGAATCCGGTGACATAAGCCCGCTGCCATCTGCTTCACTTCCCCTCTCTCTGTCTCTCCAGCAAGCACATGTGGCCTATGGCAAAAATCTATAAAAACAAACCTCCCCAAATCCAAAGATAACCAATACCCCAAACTGAGAGGTTCCTGATTTTATTATACCACTGCATGTTACTATCACTCTGCCCTTGTGGTGGTTTACCTCTGTGTGAGCGGGGTGGGGGTGGGGGGCTCCAAGGCCGTTTACTGCACAGGCGATGGTGCTACTGTGCCTGTCCTCGCAGTTCAGTGGCATCGCAGTGGCAGCTTGAAACTGGTCGCGGTGGGGGTGTTCGCAGCACAGTGTCGGCAAACTATCAAGCAGGGCGGGCTCCTCCACCTCACCCCAGACCTGCTGCTAATGTTTACTTACCGTCAGGCCACTGGTCAAGGACAGTCGAGGCTCACAAGATGACACGGGGTCTTGAGAGACCTTTCTGGTTTGCCAACGATCTGGGCTTCCTTCCTGTCACTAGGCCAATTCGCGGGGTGACCTGGAGTGTCTGACTCCGTCCTGGCAGGCGTCTAACCTACTCGTCAGGCACCGATTCTCAGGATAATGAGGAAGACTCAGTCCCTAACTCCAGAGCTAAGGTGGGCGGTGTCTGGGCCACAGCACACCCATTTCGAGCGTGAACGTTCGGATGCATGGAGGGTTCAGTACCAAGGAGCAGAGGGTGAGTGCTAAAGGGGACAATCACTGGGGACTAGTGTCCCGAGTTCAGTCCTGGACCAGGGCATCCCTCTGAACATCAAGGTGGGATTTGTTTTTATTTTTTTATGTATGCATTTATTTATTTAGAGGTTTTTGCCATAGCGTGCATGCACTCTCTGGAGAAAGACAGAAATAGAGGGAAAGTGAGAAATCACTTCCCCAAAAGGGAGGGCCACACCACAATCCCTTCTCCCTTCTGGGATCTTGGGCATGTGTGCACATGTGCCCGGTAGGACTTTCAAGGCACCAAGTCTGAGGTCAGCCGGGTGGGAATCCGGTGACATAAGCCCGCTGCCATCTGCTGGCCCCTTGAGGTAGGAGTTAGATGCGTGAAGGAAAGGACTTCCAAGCAGGGGAAGAGCATAATTTGGGTAGGAGTCAGAGTTCAGGACGTCATTTTCTGAAAGGATGCTCAGTCTTTTTTTTTTTTTTTAAACTGTTGTATTATGATTTAATCTAATAGCACAAAAATTTGAATTACAACTCTCAACTTTTTTTTTAACAATTATTTTATTTAACTTTATTTATTTATTTAATTTGACCAGAGAGGGGTAGATTGAGAGAGAGATAGGGAAAGTGAGAAAGCAAGCTGCCAGGTCCAGGACTCAAACCACAGTTGGCCACGTGGGAGTCCAGCACCCCCAACCACCACACCATCTGCTGGCCCCTCAACTCTACTTCTAAGAGGAGGGTTATACATGACTCCATATTCAGTTCTGCACTGTTACATTTGAACCATATCGTGAATTTTACATCATGATGGATCAATTTAGAATTCTCCACGCAACACTTCAAATTATAAATTGGAAGCAATTTTTTTTTGTGAGAGGTTTTTGGTACAGCGCTGGTACGCTCGCCAGAAAGACAGAGAGACAGAAAGTGAGAAATCACCCCCCAGGGAGGGATGGCCACGCCACAGTCTCTTCTCCACCATTCTCCTCTCGGGATCTTGGGCACACATGCACATGTGCCTGGTGTGAGTTTAAGCCACTGTGTCCAGGACTTGAACCATGGTCGACTACAGGGAGTCCAGTGATGTAGCCATTATGCCGCCTGCTGGTCCCGATGAAAAGAATTTTTAAAGCTTCGAAAGATTTTCATAAAGATAAAAGCCAGGACCAGCAAATAACATAATGGTTACTTTGCTGGACTCCCACACGGTTGACTGTGATTTGAGTCCTGAACCCAGTGACTTGAAACTCACGCTGGGCGTGTGTGCATGTGTGCCCAAAATCCCAAGAGGAGACTGGAGGAAAAGGGATTGCGGCATGGTCTTCCCTGATGGGTAATTTCTTGCTTTCTGTCTCTCTGTCTCTCTCTGGTGAGCACACATACCCTGTAGCAAAAATCTCTCTTAAAAAAAAGATAAAAGCCATTTTTTGTGGGTAGTTTACTTTTGGGTTACAATGTACCAGGTTGCTGCTGCACTTTAAGACATTGGTCACTGGGACCAGCAGGTGGCATAAGGGCTATGTCGCTGGACTCCCATGTAGTCAGCCACAGTTCGAGTCCTGGACCCGGTGGTTTAAATTCACACCGGGCGCGTGTGTATGTGTGCCCAAGATCCCTAGAGGAGAATGGAGAAGGGATTGTGGTATGGCCATACTCCCCCAGGGAGGGGGTGATTTCTCGCTTTCTGTCTCTCTGTCTTTCTGCCAAGCATACGTGCCCTATAGCAAAAACCTCTTTAAAAAAAAGTGACTTATCAACCATCGCCTAGGTAACAACCAAATATTCCCTTCTCAATAGACTAATCCACGACACTCGGCATGTTTCAAAAGTTTGTCGATTTCTTTCATCAGTGGGAGAAAGAGAGAGAGAGAGACACTGCCCCTAACGGCCTCAATACTGCAACCCACCCACACCTCTGCCAGCCCCAGACCACAGGAGGTGTGTGTGCTTGGCATACTTGGAGCGGTCTCTGGACTTGAACTGGGAACCTTCCCATCTGACATTGCCTCACAAAGCCTCATATGTACCACTGCGCCACCATCTGGCCGCAAGGACACTGAGCTTCTCTGAAAGGTACTTGGCCACACTTCCCGAGAGGCTTCCTCGGTGAGCAGAGGGCCCGGTGAGAAAGCACGGCCGCCTCCTCATCATACATCAGTGAAATCTGGGGCTCTGGGCCCAGCCCTGCCGCTAAGAGACTGTGCGACTTGCTGCACGCGCAATGGCCCTGTTTCCTCGTCTTCGCAGTCAAGGGTTAGACTCGTCTCCCTGCCTCTCAGTTTTCTTTTTCTTTTTTTCCCACAAGAGAGGTTTTTGCTATAGGGCACATGCGTTTACCAGAGAGAGAGAGAGAAATCACTCTCCCCCAGGGGGGTTGGCTAGGTTGCAATCCCTTCTCTTCCGTTCTTCCCTCGGGATTTTGTGCACACATGCACACACGCCCAGCATGAGCTTCAAGCTGCCGGGTCTGGGACTGGAACCTCAGTAGGCCATGTGACGTAACCACTACGCCATCTGCTGGTCCCTGCCATTCAATTTTCTGATCAGTATTTGGAGAGTGCCTGTTTTCCATCTCAGTTAAACTCACCTGCTGCTTCCACAAAGTACACAAGCCTTCTGCTGACTGGCGAACTGTTCATCGCTAGTCTTAAAATATACCCTTCAAGAGACCAGCAGGTGGTATAGTGGTTAAGGCACTGAATTCCCACATAGTTGACTGTGGTTCGAGTCCTAGGCCACAGTCTCTTCTCCATTCTTCTCTTGGGATTTCATGCACGCACACACACCTGTTGCGTCTCTCAAGGTGCCAGGTCCTGGACTCAAACTTCTCGGTCTGCTATGTGGGATCCAACCATCTTAACCACTGTGCTGGTCCATTCCATTCTCTTAGCACACCACACAGGATATAGTTGACTTCAAAGCACTCAAGAGTCTCTGAAATGAGTATTTATTTATGGGCGCTTACTACAATGTAAACTTCACACGACCAGGGAACTTGACTGTCCTGGGACAGTGAATGGCTCAGTAAGACATTCAGTGAAAGAAGAGTGAGCACATGAATAAATGAATGAGTCGTTGAACTTTCTGAAGAAAACACGGTTTAGTTATGTACATTACTGCCGTTTCTGCAGACTGGAAAAGAAGACAGAGTGGACTGGGAGGAGAGAGAAGGGGGGAAGAGGGGAGTGGCACCTCGAATTCTGAGCCACAGGGCCGCAGGGGGTGGAGTCGGGGAGTCTTCGGTGTGGCTTCTAGGTGCTGCCCTCGGCTTGGGCTTCTCTCCAAGCCTGGCGCACCGTGACCCTCACTTTGTAAGGGTTGATAAGAAAGACCACCTTGGGGTTGCCCTCCAGGGAGGGCAGCTGCCCGTCATCCGGCAGTTCCAGGTGGAATCTCTGCAGCAGCCAGGCCATGAAGAGGAAGAGCTCCTGGCGGGCCAGGCTCTCGCCGACGCAGGAGCGGGGCCCTGCTCCAAAGGGCAAGTAGCTCAGCGTTGGCGAGATGAGCTGGTTCCCCGTGGGGTCCAAGAAGCGCTCTGTGGGCAGGGCGAGGCATCAGGCAGCGCCAGGGCAGGAGTACGCAAGGCACGCGGCTGCCCCGGCTCTGGGGGAGACACTCAGGTCCTCGCCTCCTCAGAACAGCCCCGGTGAGGGGAGGTCAGACGGCCTTTCTGAGGAGGGCCACAGCCCTGCTCTCAGACAGCCCTTTGTGACACAGGAAGAATGGCAAGGATGGACACGCCGCCATCCACGGAGAGAGGAGGCAGACTTCTTGGCAGACGGATGCCAAGAGGACCTCGGAGAGGAGTAATTTTGCAGTTGGTCGGAAGGAGAGAGGAGGGGACGTTGGCTAAGTCCGAGATGGGACGGGAGCGTCACCGAGGAGATTCGAACTAAGAGTGCTCTAGGAGCAAGCGTGGCAGAGGGGAGGGGGGCTGGGGTGCTGGAGCCAGAGTCCAGGCCGACTGTGGCCCCGGGAGAGGGCCAGGAGAGACTCACCAGGCATGAACTGCTCAGGCTGCTGCCATTCCTTCTCGTCGTGATGCAGGGCCCACAGGTTGACGACGACCTGTGTGCCCTTGTCAATAGCAAACTTGCCGATGCTGCCCCAGAAAAGGAAAGGAAAGGAGGACCTGGAACATCGTCCCCTGCTTCCGGCTCAGCCCCCAGCACCACTTTTCCCACCACAGGGTAAAGGGGCTCTTGGTTCCCTCATTCCACTCCCTCATCTTTTCTTCAGCTTCTGCCAGATCGAATCTGAAGCCCAGCCTTCTCCAGCCCTGTCTTCTTCCTTTTTTTTTTTAAATTTTTTTTTTAATGTTTTTGCCATAGTTGCACTTGTGCTCACCAGAGAGAGAGAGAGACAGTAAACAGGAAACTGAGAAGTCCCTCCCCAGGGGGATGGCCATGCTGCAATCCCTTCTCCATTCTCCTGGGATTTGGGGCATGCGTGCACATGCGCCAGCGTGATTTGCAAGCCACTGGGCCCAGGACTCGGACAGTGGCCGGCCATGTGGGAGTCCAGCTGCCTTCACCACACCACCTGCTCGCCCCCTAGCCCTATCTTCTTAACAAGCACTTCTGTACTGACACTTGTGTAACATGGACATTCGTGTCTACCCAGGGGTGCGGGAGTGCATTTGCAGCTGGGGCACATCTGTGTGTGCTGCAGTTGCCGGGCTGGTAGCAGCCTGAGAGCGCCCCGTCTTTCATCCCGACCACGTGTCTCCAGGGCGGCAGGCAGCTTTGGACAGAAGTCAGGTAGACCCGCAGATTAGTTGGTGTCAGCGGGCGGTGGGTACACTGAGCAGTCTGGCCAGGCGTGGGGTGACTGGTAGTAGTCAAGCACTGACTGACTAAGGTGGACCAGCAGGCTGGAGGTGGGGACCGCGGAGGGGGAGGCAGGTGGGCTGGCCAGCAGTGCAGGGTGCCTCGGCACAGGGCTGGATGTTCCTGGGCAGGAGGGCGTACCTGGAGTCAGTGTTCGCCTTGTGGGGGATGAGCATAGGGGCCACAGGCCTGATGCGGAGCACCTCTCGGAGGGTGGCCTCTAGCAAGATGAGGTTGTTCCGGTCACTGAGGGTTGGTGTTCGGCCAAAACCTATGTTCTGGTCAATCTCCTCATGGATCTTCTTCATTATCTGAGGGCAAGGGTGGGGTGGATGTGACCAGTGTGCTTAAGCCCAAGAGAAGCATGGGCTTAGCAGATGCCAACGGTCAGATCCAGAAGAGCTTGTCCAGACTCTTCCCAGTAGTGGCTCTAGAGCCCAAGCCTGCTTCCAGAAGCTGGGCCAGAGCCAGCCACTGGTTGGGTAAGCGGCAGGGCAGGCCCGGCCCTTCTGCACAGATTACCTTCCCTGCCTCTGGGGTCCAGCCGTTGGGCTGGCTGGGGTCAAGGATGGATGGGGAGGAGTAGGGAGAAGCCCACCTGAGGATTATGCAGCAGGAAGGCCACTGTCCACTTCACCACAGAGGTGGTAGTCTCCACGCCAGCCCCAAAGATGTCCCCAATGGTGGCAAGAATGTGTGTATCTGAAAACATCTTCGAATTCTGGTCTTGGTCCACATTGTTATTGTCTGAATTCATCTTGGCTTGCATCAGCATATCCATCATGCTGGTGATGGAGTCACCGCTGAACTTCTCCTAGGTAGGGGGAAATAGGGAGACGGTGATGAGATGGGAGCTCATCTGCAACACTCCTGCATCCCGCCATCCCACACTGGGCAGGGCCGGGCCAGGGCCTCTGAGCTGGTAAGGTAAGATTAAACTGGGGAGATGGGTCCCTTCTAAGGTCCTCTTTCATTTCTCACTTTCCCACCTCCATTCATTACGTCAGTTTTTATTGAACACTTACTATGTGCCAGGCTCTCTGCTAGGTTCTGGAGATCCTGAGGTGTCCAAAATGGACCCAGCCCTGCTCTCCTGACATGTTCAGTCTAACTCATACCCTCGCCTGCGCCATCACCTACCTTGTGGTTCTTCAATACTTTTCCCAGCAGGTCATTTCGAATTTTAACATATCTCCTGATCATTTCCAGGGTTTTGTTGGGGAAAATCTGGGGAGTAGAAAGAAGTGTCAAACTCACCCCTCTTCCATTTTGCTTCTCCAGCTACCACAATGGCACCTAGAGGCAGATCTTAGTTTTCTGCCTGTCGAGAGTTCCCGTTCCAACCCTGACCTTCAGCCAAGGTGGGAGGCAAGATGAAGACACAGAACAGAATTATCGAAGACCATTAGGACAATTCCAGACACGGGAGTGGCATCCACTTCACTTTCTCCATTCAATCAAACATCTAGTCCAGGCCTTAGGAATGAGGTTTGAGTCTGAAGCTTTTTTTTTTTTTTTTTTGAGAGGTTTTTGCTATAGGGTACATGTGCTCACCAGAGAGACAGAGAGACAGAAAGTGAGAAATCACCCCCCAGGGGGTTGACCACGCCGCAATCTCTTCTCCATTCTCCTCTCCGGATCTTGGGCATGCACGCTCACGCGCCTGGTGTGAGTTTAAGCCACCGGGTCCAGGACTTGAACTGCGGTCAACTACATGGGAATCCAGCGACATAGCCATTACGCCATCTGCTGGTCCCGAGTCTGAAGCTTTGAGCAAGGTCCTTACCCATGCTAAATCTGTTTCTCGGGACTAGCAGGTGATGTGGTGGTTCTGGTGCTGTATCCCAGATGGCTGACTGCGGTTCGAGTCCCAGACCCTGGCAGATTGCTTTCTCACTTTCCCTTTCTCTCTGGTGAGTGCACATGCCTTAAAACAAATTTAAAAATACTAATAATCAATAAAATTAAATAATTCTTTTAAAAAGTTTTTTTAAAATCTTGTTCTCTGGGACCAGCAGTTAGTGTAATGGCTATGTTGCTGGACTCCCATGTAGTCGACTGCCGTTCGAGTCCCAGACCCGGTGGCTTAAACTCATGCCGGGCGCATGTGCGTGCATGCCCAAGATCCTTAGAGGAGAATGGAGGAGAAGGGATTGTGGCATGGCCATCCCCCCTGGGGGGTGATTTCTCGCTTTCTATCTCTCTGTCTCTCTCTGTCTTTCTGGCGAGCACACGCGCCCTATAGCAAAAAACCTCTCAAAAAAAAAAAAAATCTGGTTCTCATCTTAATAGTGGGGATAGTAAAACCTACCTCCAAGGGGAAGTTAATGATCAGTACACATAGAATGTGTAATACTGGAGGGGGCCAGAAGTTGGCGTAATGCCTTTGTCTCTGGACTCCCATGTAGTCGACCACAGTTCGAGTTCTGGATCCAGTGAGAGAGAGGGAAAGTGAGAAAGCAAGCCACCAGGTCTGGGTTTCAAACGGTTGATTATGTGGGAGTCCAGCATCTTAACCACCACGCCACCTGCTGACCCCTATCATCATGAGTTACTAAGACTAGGAAGGGGACCAGCAGGTGGCATAGTAGTTAAGGCACTGGACTCCCACATGGCCCACTCTAGTTCAATTCCCAGACCTGGAGGTTTGCAACTCACACCAGGTACACGTGCATGTGTGCCCCAAATCCCTAGAGGAGAAGAGATTGTGGCATAGTCACCCCCCTAGGGGGTGAGTTCTCACCTTCCCTCTCTCTGTCTCTGTCTCTTTCTCTCCAGCAAGCACATGCACCCTATGGCAAAAAAAATCATTTTTTGTTGTTGTCGAGAGATTTTTTTTCTTTGCTATAGGGCACATGCACTTACCAGAGAGGGGAGAGAGACAGAGATAGAAAGTGAGAAATCATCCCCCACGGCAGGCTGGGCATGCCACAATCCCTTCTCCTCCCCTCTCCTCTCAGAATCTTGGGTGGTGGTTAAGGATTCAAGTCCTAGATCTGGTGGTCTGAAAAACATGCTGGGAGCATGTATGTGAATGTCCCAAATCCTGGGAGAGGAATGAGGAGAAAGGATTGTGGTATGGCCATCCTCCCAGAGAGTGCTTTTTCACTCTCTCTCTCTGTGTCTCTCTCCAGCAAGCATAGCGCCCTATCAGCGTGTGTGTGCGTATAATACATAGATTGTACATATGTAGTAGAGGCCCAGCCTGTGGCCTGGTGGTTAAGGGTGCGTGCGTGTGCACAGTCCTGGAGGGGGAGAAACGGAGGAGAGCATGACCAGGCAGCACGACCATCTCCCATGGAAGATGCTCTGCCTTTCCCTCTCCCTGTCTCTCTCTGGTGAACACAGGTACCCTCTGGCAAATTTTAAAAAATAAAGATAAAATAAAATACAACAGGGAGAACACAGTTAACAATAACCTACTATATATCTCAGAGTAACTAGGAAGATGTGGATGTCCCCATGGGTCAACTCCATACCTTGAACTCTCCTCGCCCTCCCTCTTCACCTTATTCCTCTGAGACCCCACCGCTAGCCCAGCTGGACCTGGCGAGCCCCTCGTGACCTTTCCCTCATCGCAGAGAACAGGCCGTGGCTGGGGCTGGTCCCGAGGAACACCTCACAGCTCTCCCACAGGAGGACATCACTGAATCCTAGACACTAACCAAGACGTACTCTGCTGAGTCTGCCGATTGATAAGGTGACCTGATATCGAAACCCCTGAACAATGTATGTCTTTACTTGATTTATTTATGCTTTGTTCTTGGTCTATAAAACCAGAGCCTGGGGACCAGCAGGTGGCGTGATGGTTACGTCGCTGGACTCGCATGTAGTCGACCATGGTTTGAGTCCCAGACCCAGCAACTTAAAACTCACACCGAGAGGAGAATGGAGGAGAAGGGACTGTGGTGTGGCCATCTTCCCCAGGGGGTGATTTTTCACTTTCTGTCTCTCTGTCTCTCCAGTGAGCACCTGCACTCTTATGGCAAAAATCCCTCCACAGAAAAAACAAAAACTAAACAAAACCTGAGCCTGTTTTTGCTGACGGTGTGGACCACTCTCCACCCAGCTTCCCTAGTAAGGAAACTCATGTCTCTCTCTGCTGGACCTCCATGGGGTTCTTTGGAATCAGAAAACATCATAGGAAGGCACCCCCAAATTTGAGGTCCTCAAAAACATTTGGCACAGGGAACCAGCAGTTAGCGTAATGGCTATGTCGCTGGACTCCCACGTAGTCGACCGCGGTTCGCGTCCCGGACCCGGTGGCTTAAAACTCACGCCGGGCGCGTGTGCGTGCGTGCCCAAGATCCCGAGAGGAGAATGGAGGAGAAGGGATTGCGGCGTGACCATCCCCCCTGGGGGATGATTTCTCGCTTTCTGTCTCTATGTCTCTCTCTGTCTGTCTGGCGAGTGCACGCGCCCTACAGTGAAAATCTCTCCAAAAAAAAAAAAAAAAAAAAAAAAAAACATTTGGCACAGTCTGTAGGATTCCAAAGAGCATCCCATTGTAGTGACCACAGGGGAAACTGAGGAAAAGAGGATGTCATTGAGGGAAATACCAGGGGGGACCCCACTTCAATGTAGTACGAGGTAACCAATCTTTTAGACAATTGGGGCCCACTGCGTTGAGTATGGGGATGCCCTGAAAATGCTGATAAGACTGCCAAGCTTTTAAAGGCATTTGATGAGAAGGGGAACCTTCAGAAAGAAAAGGAGGTCCAGACTCTTGTCACAGTCGGCTGGCTGCAGCCTTGTGCTCTGCACTTAGCCACGGAGGAGGCCTAGCTGCCTGTGCAGAAGCACCGCACCTGAGGGAAGCGCTCCCCCTAGAGTGAGAGGCAGGAGTCACACAGGCTGAGGTGAGAGACCTGCTTAATCCTGCCTAGAGCAAACAACCAAACAATTCCAGGAATTAGCCTGCAGCTTTGCAAAGGTAACGGGGTGGTCAATGCCAGTAGCACGATTCTGTGCAACAGTGCCACGATTAGACCAGAATCCCTGAAGGGGGGACCCCATGGAGGACTTAAACTCCTCAGAGGAAGAAGGTTGCGTGGAGGTAATAGAGGATACTGAAGAAGGTGCACAAACTAGACCTGCCGTCATGCAGAAACTAAGAACTCTGCAGCCACAGGGCTGGCAGGTGGCATGCTGGTTAAGGGCGCTGGACTCCCACATGGCTGACTGTGGTTCGAGTCCTGGACCTGATGGCTTGCTTTTTCACCTTCTCTTTCTCGAACTCTGTCCCTCTGTGGTCAAATTAAGAAATATAAATAAATAAATAAAGTTAAATAAAATAATTCTTTTTTTTTTCTTTTTTGGAGAGGTTTTTGCTATAGGGCACGTGCACTTGCCAGAAAGACGGAAAGACAAAGCAAAAAATCACCCCCTGGGGGGATGGCCACCCCACAATCCCTTCTCTTCCATTCTCTTCTTGGGATCTTGACAATGCATGCTCATGTGCCTGGTGTGAGTTTAAGCCACTGGGTCCAGGACTTGAACCGTGGTCGTCTACATGGGAGTCCAGCAGCATAGCCATTACATCATCTGCTGGTCCCTAAAATAATTATTTAAAAAAAAATGCAGCCACAACCTGAGGGAGCTGACCCCCAAAACTTGCCACCACCCCGATTGCTACACACCATGGTTGAATCATATACATCAGCCGAACTGGTTCAGCTAGCAACAAAATTTAGGCAGAAGAGTTGAGAGAGTGTGGCTGGGTGGCCCCTGAGTGTGTGGGATGCCCGTGTGGATGGAATCCTTCCCAGTGAGATGTGAAAGATGTCTTCTAGACTAGTCGCCCCTCACGGAGGCAGTGCGTTCTGGGGGCCTCACTGGAAGATGAGACTGCCTCTTTATGAGCCTGGCTAACCACAGCATGCCACCCTATCTGGTCCAATGGGGGCCATCTGCCATCCACAGTCCCCAAATGCGGGAGTTTATCCTGGAACTGGGGGTGTGCAGTGCCGAGACGTGACATAGGCAAATGCTGTTTACCTCGCTCTGGTAGCTGCTGAGCCTGACACCAGCCACGCCTCTGTCGCGGTGCAGACAGCCCTCTCCATTGTGGGGTGGCTACATGACCTGTCCCACAAGACACGAAGCCCAGCCACGCAGACGACGACTCTCACCCAGTGCTGAGCTTATTTGCGACAACACAGTAAGTTCCCTACCAGCCCCTTACGCCCTGTTAGGAACACTGATGCCCCTCCAGTGGAGGCTCCTGC